AGAGAGAGAGAGAGAGAGAGAGCACTGTAGCATCATCCTCGTCACGATCACGTAAAGCATGAACATCGCGTATTTCGATTTAACTTTCTACATCCTCCTTTCTGGAACCGTGCCTCGTATCGCGAATCTATGCTTGCAATCGTGTATATATACTGTGTATATATATATAGAGCTAGTTCGACTATCAACATTCTCATCTATGGCTCTTATATGATTATAACATCCAAAAGAAATCGTAGTTTTTAAGAGTTTTTTAATTGCAAATGGCCGAATAACTTTATAATATTTCTATTTCTATTCTTCCGTAATTGCTATTATAATTGATAAAAGATTTCCAGAAGAAGTTGGTTCGCTTCTCGTCCCTATCCTCGATACATTCCAAACGTTATTTCTCCTATTCTCATTCCAATTATTAGAGAAGTAGGTCGTGAATTTATTCGAAACTTCATAAACTTCATTTCTCTTGCTATCATTCTCGAGTCTTTTCGATCTTCTTCTTATATATAATACTTTTGTTCCTAAGTTAACCACGAAGATCTATGATTTAATTCGAAAGTTTCGGAAAGTTTCACGCTTCTCCTTCTCTCATTTCTCCGTTACTTTCTTTTAACGAAGATTCTTCTTCCTCGTTTCTCCTTCTTCGTTATCGCTTTCGTCACACTTCTTCTCGAGGAGAAAGTAATCACTGGTCTCGCATCAATAGATTACGTTGGTTAATTACCAAGTCTGTGGTGTGAAACGGAGATAGACACGCGGAGGAAGGAATGGAAGGAAGTTGAACGGACGGAGGATATCCGTAAACTCGACTCGGATTCATTCACTGGATCTAGCCGCTGGCGAGACAGGTCCATGTCCTTGCCCGGGGCAAGTTGTAACGTTTGCCATTCGACTGCTGGCGTCTGCTTCGTCTCTTAACCTATTGCGCAACGCGTATATCACTAGCGGCAACCTGTCTGTCGGGATGATTATCTTACTTGATTGATCATTTGATCGATAGATGTTTAATGGAAATTTTAACGTGCCATAAAGTTTACACTATTTCCTTACTTACACTTTGTAATCTCTAACGTATCTTACAATTTTCGTGTATAATCTTTGATACAGAGTGTACCATGATGTAACATAACTTTATCGTTTCTCATCTAAATTCTTCTTTTTCAAGTTCTTCTTTCGTATTTTTTCGTGCTCTTTTAATTTTATCGTAATCTTCTAATAGGTTTCTGGTGTTGGAAAATTGGAAAAGGTCATGTAATTTTGAAAACTGCTTATCTCTTTAGAAATTCTATCTTCGATCGATTCGACATCTTTGGATTAAAGATTGTAAGACGAGGGTTTAATACAATGCGTCATCTTGTAAGGATTAAAAAAGGATTCAAAGTGATTGACTCTTAAAATTGTGATATCTGCTATCGTTGGAACGAATGGAAATATCGAAATATCGATGTTATTAAATTAAGAAAGGTGACTATATTTTGCGGTTAAATCGTAGATTGCGTAATGAATAATAATGTAATGAATAATATCCATAGAGGAGATTGATAAAAAGAAAAGTTCCGGATCAGATCGGAACAATGAGGATAATTCGCCTCAGCCGCGGGAATTGTTCACTGTAAAAATTCAATCGAGCATTGTGAAACGAGGACTGGAAACGGCTCAACTTAATTTCTTTTATGTTTTACTTTTTTGGATTAAATTCGAGTCACGCACGAAAAACGTCATTAATCAGTTTTTAAATCGAAAACAATTTTATACAGATTTTAGTTTTGCGATTAAGATTCAATTCGATGTTGCGAAATAATTTTTGAAGATTCTGCAAAATTATTGAGCACCTTGTTAAGAATCGTGGAAGGAGGAAAAGATCTGGACTCGAATCCTGAAATTCGATCGTAAAAATTTTTTTTTAAAACTTTCCAAAGCGTTACACGATCATGTCCCAGAGAACTCGTTCTGCAAAATTTATTGGCAAATAAATATTAACGTAAAAGTGCGTGGAATCAGAAAATTAATATCGAAAGGAAATATAATTTCGATTATATTGAATTCATTAGAAAATCATTGATTTAAGTTAAATCACAGTTATTTTAGCTTTTAAATGATTGTAATTATACGCATATCCGCATTTCTAATAGAATTATCATATCATAATATTCTATATCTCTAATAATCACAAATCAGCTGATTTCAAAAAATTGGATGAATTATTCAATCGTCGTCGAGATATAACGTTTCTTAATAATTGTCTCTCTGTATATAGCCTCAAGTTTGGAAATTGTACGAGAATCGAAACTAAAAAAGGTTCTTGAAGCAATACCAGAAATCCTATAAGTATAACGAAACTGGTCAGAGAAATTGCAAAGCAACGAGATACGGGAATATTTTCGTTCGTTTCGGAGGATCTAGTGCGTGAACGACACACGCCAGTCGGTTAGTACCAATTATGGTATCTCGAGTCGATTTTAGGCCCATTACGATAGTGTTTTTTAGGCGTGGAAACACCTCGTTTCGCGAGGATACGATATTTCTTCTCATAATGATCGTGATAATATTTCTCTATTGCTTGTGATATTATTTATATACTGCGTCGAAGCGGAGAAATTGAGAAATCGACTGCGTTATTACTAGACGTGACAAAAAGGTTTTATAAACGTTGCTCGAAAGAAATGTTAATCGTGTCCACGTTAATGTCGAGATTAATATCGACTGTATCCACGTACGTATAGCAAAAAAAGGTTTTACGGTCTTCTTAAAATCATTTCTCAAACTTGTAACATTATTTAACTTTTCAAAGATTGGACAGGATAGCGATTAGTCATACGACAGAGTGATTGACTTGGTCGTCGTTATCCTTTTCTCTTTCTTCTTATCGATAACAGCATATCTGGACGCTTATAAATCGTTGAATTAACCTTTCTATGCCGCAGAAAGACACACACTTCCTCTTTAGAGTAGACTTTCAACAATCATAAATCATGAAATTACTTCTGAAGCTTTGATATTTGAAGCTTTGATCACCTTCAATCAGTTGATCCGGAATTAATAACATTGACTCGGATCAGGAAGGAACAGTTTTAACGTGCACAGCTACACGGCTTACATATTTCCTGCAGGGCGAAAGTGATCGGGGAAACG